GGGGGGGGGGGGGGGGGGGGGGGGGGGGGGGGGGGGGGGGGGGGGGGAAAAAGAGGGAGGGGGGGGGGGGGGGGGGGGGGGGGGGGGGGGGGGGGGGGGGAGGGTACTCATGATGTGCATGCCTTCTAGCGTTGGGCCATTGACCACGCGTCTCAGGACGGAGCATTGTTTCCACAGGACGGACCACAAGTAGCCAATCGTTCCTTCCTACTTTCAACAACAACAAAACAAAACTCCACGTCCGCGGCCAGAAAAAAGTATGACTGCGTGTTTTTGCTATTAGTGGTGATCTTTTCAGGCCCCTTGTTGCCGTAAACGCCGATGAGCTTGACATTGGAAACTCCTAACAGGCGTTGTTTTTTCTTGATGGTGGTAGTTGCAGCAGTCGCACGCTCGCCCTAGTATACTGTTGTGTTGCTGTCCTTTTGGTGAGGGTCGTGGTGCGTTCGCGGTACAAAAGCGGTGAGTGCTGTGGTGTTGTTTCGCGTGGCGACGTTCCCCTGCTCTAGCGTGTTTCTTCATGAAAGGACATGTTCTGTTTCATCAAATTGTGTTTCTTCATGAGCACGTTTTGTTCCAAATTCGACGTTACCCTGCTTTTGTATGTCTCTTCATGAACATGTTTTCGCTTCACACGTGTTTCTTCATGAAAGGACAGGTTTCGTTTCAATTTTTGAACGTTTGAAACAAGCATTTCCATGAAGAATACATCCGAAAGAAAGCGCGTTCAAAAAACAATTTCTGAAAGGAAACGTGTTCACGAAGGTACACACAGGAGCAGGGGAACGTCGCCACGCGAAACAACACCACAGCACTCACCGCTATTGTACCGCGAACGCACCACGACCCTCACCAAAAGGACAACAACAGCAAACAACAGGGCGAGGAGCGTGCGACTACCGCAACTACCACCATCAAGAAAAAACGACGCCTGGGAGGGGGTCCCAATGTCCGACTCATCGGCGTTCACGGCATCACGGGGCCTACAAAGACCACGACTATCAACGGAAACACTCAAAATGAAGAGCTCGGGCTGCGGACACATGAGAGCGACACATGACTACCTGCACCTTCCAATATCCGTCCAACTGGTCCAACTGGTCCAACTGGACGACCATAAAGGCACGGCAGAGCACCGACCGACCGTGCAGGTTCCCACCGTGGCACAATGAAGGACGAAGAAACAAAATAATTTAAATGTGTGCAAGACTGCCGTTTCTCCTTGGGTGTAAGTCGTGGTGTGGTCCCGGTTTAGCGGTTAGTTCAACCCCTATTTAGCGGGGCGCGCTGAATAGCGGTTCCAGTTCTCGTGGCACGGCTGCACGTCGGTAGTCAACACTACCATACCATACCATATAACTGCCAATCCGGTATAGAAACTACCACATAACTGCCAATAGCGGCGATGCCCTCAACAGCGGTGTACCACATTTTGCGATTCTAAGGACCGCTAAATGGGGACCACGACTGCTGTACGACAAAATATGAAAAAAAAAACAGAAAAAACGCCCGACCGACCGACCGACCGACCGACCGACCTTGCAGGTTCCCGGCTCTGATTCGTCGGCGTTCACGACGAGGAACGAGGGCCGGCCATCAGTGTTCTTGGGCATGAAGGACCACTTCAGGCCAGAAGGGAAGCCGGCACCGCCCCTACCCCTGAGGCCCGAGTCCTTCATCTCCTGCACGATCCAATCGGGACCCATCCACATGATTTCCTTCGTCTGGTGCCTGCGCAGACCAACCAACACAAAAACGGGCCCGCAGTTGAGAAACGGGTGTATATCGTTAAGAAACAGCGGCTTAAATTTTCACGAATACTAGGGAATATTTTTTAAAGAAAAATATATGTAGCTCAGCGGAGAATCCTACACAAAACTCTATACAATCTAGCCTGTGCTCGGCTGTGGCCATCAAGTAAGACTTGACGCGCATTTGACCTTCATCTCCGGAGCCGTTCTGTACACAAAGCAGTTTCTGCACAAAGATGTCTCTTTGTTTTCACAGAAACATTACAGCTTCTGCCCCAGAATATTTACATTTTTTCTCTTGCGGGACATGGATCAAGCCTTGCAACAAACATGCTTGCATCGATCAACATATTTGTATCGAATCGAGGCACCCAAAGCCAGCCTACGAACCGCAGGCTGTGGCTCGCACCACCGCACCAGTGAAGGTCTCTTCTTGAACCCTACCGACGTCGGTACCAGAGATAGCTATCGACGTCAACCAAGTCGGGACGATAGTCATTAGTGACAGAACTGCTTCTGGCATAGAGCCGCCTTCGCCAGAAACTAAGTTTTTCAAGAGGAAATAGAACAGGGAGGGGGCACGCAGACCGTATTCCCTAACCGTAACCCATACCCAACTTCCCCGATTGCATACTTTATCCAACACGTTTACTTCATAGAAAAATCCTGCCAAGGCCGCTTTCTTCTTGTTGTTGTTGGTCTTCACTTCAAATCAGCGCTCACAGCATTTGTTGTGCCGTGTACTCCAACCCGTGGTCACACAGAAGGGTTCCTCTCCCTGAGGCCCCCTATTGTACCCACCCCTCCTGCGGTACTTTGCCTTCGCCTCTATATGCGAGAAGAGTGCAGCACTCTCATCCCTCAGGTGTACACACGAATAAAGTAGTGCTTTCCACCCAGGCCAAGAACGGAAGCTAGAGACTAGAGTTGGCACACTGTCGGAACCTCCCATCTCAAGCTCGAGTTAGCCACCAACATGCCGCTGGGCTACTCACCAGTCTCCGCGCTTCAAGGCATCTCCCACTCGCCAGTCCTGCTCCCCGTACAGGTTGGTGAAGATTCGGTCCTGGTCCTTGAGCCCGCCGTACACGCGGGGCGGCTCCGGGGCCTCCTCCTTCGCCCCCGGGGCGGCACTCAGGGATCGCCTGCCGACATTTCAGAGGGAGTGGCACACCAATATTACGTTTTGTACGCCTGAGAGGTTAGACCATTTGACGAGAGGACGGAGCACTGTTCCCACAGGACCGATGGCCAATCGTTCCAAGCAGGGAGGGGGAGAAAATGGTATACCATGTTGGAAGTGTAGACGCAAGGGAGGGCGTTGTGTAGGTTGTCAGCGGTGCTCAGGGATCACCTCGCAACATCTCAGAGGGGCAGGGGGCAGAACAAAACCGTACCATGTTGGAATATATCTATGTATGGCTACCATAGATGCTCTCACGTTGCTGCTCTCATGTTGGGGGAGTTCGAAGAGTGATGTTGGCTATCATCGATGCTCTCACGTTGCTGCTCTCATGTTGGGGGAGTTCGAAGAGTGATGTTGGCTATCATCGATGCTCTCACGTTGCTGCTCTCATGTTGGGGTAGTTCGAAGAGTGATGTTGGCTATCATAGATGCTCTCACGTTGCTGCTCTCATGTTGGGGTAGTTCGAAGAGTGATGTTGGCTATCATTGATGCTCTCACGTTGCTGCTCTCATGTTGGGGTAGTTCGAAGAGTGATGTTGGCTATCATAGATGATGCGCCTACCGTCACGCAGAAAGAAGGGTGGCGGAAGAAAACCGTGCAGTGGTAATGTTCCAATTTTGATGCTCTGGAGGTGAGTGCTCTGACGTTAGGGTGCTTCGGACCGTTAAGTCACAGCGGCACATGCGGTTTATCGATCGCCAAACATACCGTAAACGTCGGAGTTCCCCCCCCCCCAGTAGAGTGTTCCCCTCCCCCCATTACCTTGTCGGCCTGGAAGCATGGTTTCTACGATTTTCCCTGGGGTAGATCGTTTTCGACCAAAAAAAAAATCCCCCCGGGTATTTCAATTTCCCCCCGGGGTACCAGTTTTCCCACGAGTTCCCCACGGGGGGGGTGTATTTCTCTATTTTTCTGAGTCGATTTTGTTGCATCGCGGAGCACAAAAAACATGATATGGGACGGAAAATTAATTTGCAGATCTGCGCTTCGAGCGAGATTTAGGTGTACCGTTTGTCACTGGAAGGCGGGCCCTTTCTCTTCTTGGAATCACTTGCGGGACGAGACAAACTCCCTCAGCTGCTGTTCTCCTTGCTGTATTTTTTCTCTTCGCCTTCGTTGCTCTTATGTTCCTCCTCCCTCTGCTTGTTGAACGCTTGCTCGTAAACCTTATCCATCTCAGTTTCGCCACTCTCTGTGTGTGTGGTGTGTGGACCATCATTATTTTGCACAACCCCCCGGGGGGGGGGCTTCCCCCCGGGGTAGCGTTGAAAAAAAAATTACCCCCCCCCGGTACGTCAATTTCCCCCCGAGGGGGTTGGTTTCAGAAAAAAAAATGATCCCCTCCCCGGGGGGGAAATGCCGACGTTTACGTTACACACCACACGGTCTTGATTTGTTATTTCCGCTCCAGGGGGTTCGGACTTCTCCTGACTCCGTTCGCATGGGCTGTTGCGTGTGTTGGAAATTGGAAAGTGAGGCTGCTAAGCAGCACCTTGCGCCGCTGTCTTACATCAGGTACTTCTGCCTTTCAACATATGCATGTGCGGATGGTATTCATGGCATTGTCTACTTGGGGGCGCTTCGCAGGATTTTTAATGGGGGTGCCCCCTCGAGAGCATGACACCGACGTGTAGGAACATGATGAGGTTTGTCTGAAATCCTGCCGTTTCGCAAACGACACAACAACCGGCAAACAACGCCAACAACGCCAATGGCAGCAGCAGCAGCAGTAGCAGCATGGGTGTGTAATGTGTAGGGCACATGCCGCCGTTCTACATACAGTAGTACGAAGCGACATGGCTCCTCTTCCCATACTTGTACGAAGCAACACCACAGACACTGGTGTGCGCGAGAAACACTGACAGACACTGGTGTGCGACGCCACGGTCAACCACCTTCGGCTCATGCCTCCGTAGGCACGAACGCTCGCATCCCTCATGTTCACGATTTCTTTTCAGTCAGAAGAAAGAGAGAGGAGAGAGAGAGAGATAATGCAACTGTACAGCAACCTGGTGCCGGTTATACCGGGAAGTGCGGCAAACAGCCCAAACAGCAAGTAGCGGTATTCACCAAGCGTGATTCCGGTCATGCTAGATACCAAAAGTTATCGTGCTGGATGGATCACTCAGAATGCTGTACAACAACAACGCACAATTAGTCCATGTATGCACAGCAGTTGGCGTTGGCTCTTTCAGCTAGCGACAATAGTGCATGTGGGTGTTGTTTCTTGTGTAGACAAGCGTATTTGTCAAAACATCGGTCAGGTTCTCCGGGGAGGCAAATGGCGGTGGAATCACAACTACCACCACCGAAAAGCCCTGACGAAAGGAAGCTGTCATGCAACAACACCGTCCGTAGGCAGCTTTGCACACGAGCGTGTATTTACGTATTTACAAAAACAGAGGTAGGCAGAGCACTGCTGTACCAATCGATTAGTGCGGGCAGCTCCAGGTCCGCGATGACGGACTGTCGACAAGCCGGAAGAGGCTTCTCCCTCAACAGCAGTAGCTTCACATGAAAAGCCGTGGGCTCTCTCACTCAGAGATCGCCGCCTGCCTCATCACCCACACTCGCTGAATCAGCAGCAGGAATTACTCTGCCAGGACTAAAATGAAGCAGAGGTTGCACAGAAAGCCAACGCTAGAGCATGGCGCGGTACGTCCACGCGCCCTACTGAACCATCGGAAGCAAACGGAATCAATCGGCTCACCCAAGAACTGCCGCGCTCCGGCCAACTACCCTCGCCGAAGCTCCCTTGGCCGAAGCCGTCGCCGCTGCCGCGCGGGCCGCCGCCTTGTACATCGTTTTCGGTCCTCTCGTCTAAAAAACGAGACGTGGGGGCAGGTGAATCCGAACGCCGGAGACAATCAGGGGCAGGCAAAGTTCTCACCGCCCCACTGACTTTGCACAAGCCCTCGCTATTGGCCGGTCTCGTGCTGTTCTTTGCGCGGCGTCATTGCATCAAATTGCATGGCTGGGGGGGGGTCGCCGGCTGGTATGACGTGCCGTGGTGGCGGGGCGTGGGACCACCGTGAATCATGTTGGTGGGGCAGGAGGGCGGGGTGACAAAACTGACAAACAGCGAGGGAGCTTTCACAGCGAACAAGAGGGAAACTTGAGAGGGTAGCAGCTCAGACGTCGCCGCTGCTTTGGTGGGAGAGGACGCCAGTCGGGAGTCCCTTGGGGGATCGTCGCTTCTCTCGGCGAACAGGTGAGGAGTCCTGTCAGCAGCGTCTGAATCAGCTCATCGACCCTTCTCGACACGGGAGGGACAGATTACCCGAGGCCCGGCGTTTATGTGAGAGTCTGCCGAAAATATGATTTCGATGGTCGGGCCATCACTCATCGCGTGCATCAAGGCAGCGGTTCCTCCTGTTGAGCGCGTCTTTCGGTGTAGTCGCTGCTTCCACGGGCCGGAATCATGCGGAATAGGGCGGACACGTCCTGAATCTCTCGAACCTGCCGCTATGGCCCCGCCCTGTTTTGGTTCCAGGGGCAAACAACTGGCGAAGAGAGTTATGGGGGTGAAGAAAAAAGTTTTTTTTCTTTTTTTGCGTGATGTTCGTGGGCCTTTGTCCGGTGTGGCGGGTCGGACGGCTCACGCAAGCTCAGGTGCCGCGTTGCGTGACATGCACCACTATAAACCTCCCAGCCTTCGCGTACTAAAGCTCCGCCTCTCTCCACAGCCGTTTTCCGCGAGGATTTTCGTTCCAGCTAATAGAATCGAGACACATCAAATGGGGGGTGGGAAGGAAGGAGGAGGGACTTGGGCCGGGATTCAGCGGCAAACACGACCAGAATCTCCTAAATCTCTCTTCTATTGTAGTGCTTGTGTCAGGAATTTCCGATTACCCTTGGGGATCGAGAGGTTCTCAAAAAGAAACTCCACCTTCTGTCGCACCAGCAGGGTTATCATACCTTGCTGCTGACCCGGCTCTGCTGTCCGCGCAGGGAAGGAAAGACTGCACGGGCGCCGGGGCACTGAGTTTGGCCCGTGTTCTCTGCCAGATTGTGCCTTTTTCGTTGGGGAAACCAGTGTTGCGCCCCCACTAATGATGGAATCAAACCGTTTTTTTGTCATCAATTTTCTCGTTCAAGGAAACTGAGCTTGTATTCCACTCCCAATAGGGTCACTACCTACTCCAGACACACGGGTGACCTCTTTTTTCCTCTCGGGGCATGGTACGCGTCCGCTGAGCGCACCAACCTGCTGCCTGTGACCCGGTGATAATGCGTAAACCGCCGTTCGAAGATCTGTTTCTTCTGATCGACATCTGACAAGATCTGAGACATTTCAACGTACAGAAAAACGGCGGCCGGACGCAGCAAGTGCGGCGGCTAGTAGTCCCCCTCCTTAGCTATGCCCCATGACTATGCCGCGCACCCTGCCCCCGTCCTATAGCAAAAGGCAAGAGGTTGCTTCAGACGACCACCGCGTGGCGCCTCGGTCTCACTAGAGTGCTGGCCGAGGTCCCGCGGACGCTCGGTTTTTTTTCATGCAGTCTTCCAGATTTACGGGGAGAAGGAAACGAGAAGTACTTCAGTACAATTAAGGAATAATAATACCATGGTACACAATACAGCAGCAGCGGTAGTCGGCATGTGATATCGTGATAACGGTTACCCGCGACATGTTCTCGATACATGTAGATACGCATGCAAGCATATGTATGGTTACATGTACCTCGCTGCTGCTGGGCGGATGCAGCAGTGGTACGTGTGTGTTTGCAAGATCCCTCTTACAGTGGTAGCTTGTGTCGTATGCAGGGAATTTCGAGGCCTCTTGATGGTTTTGTGCGAGGTGCGCGGCACTGCTGCCAGCGACGGAATTCACGGGCAGACATGCAGCATTCCATGGCAATATCTACATTCGTACTTGTTGTCGAACATCCCCGATCAGGGAAGGGTACGTTGTAGCCATGATTCACGGAGAAACTCTTGTTCTTCATGTGCGCCCCGTCGTCACCCATTTGCTCCTCAAGGTATGTAAGCTGATTCAAAATACATTGTAGGCTACCGATGCTGACTGCTGTTGGCACTTGGGGTTTCTCGAGATGATACGGTGCAGCCGCTGCTGCCGTGTGCCTGGGAAATAATAGCACCGTGCGATGCGTCTGTCACTCCGTTCAACACAGCAGCGTGATACTTGTAGAGAATCACGTGCACGATGAAGTGTTAACCTGAAAGTTTTTGTTGTCGTGGCTGTACTCTAAGGCATTCCATACCGAGAGAGGCGTTGAGCTTGGAAACGGCGGGTCTTTTCTTACCTCGTGCAACACGTATACAATACATTGCAGATGAGGTCAGCATTACAGCGAACACAGCACGTGCCTCTTTGCTGCTACCCCCCTGTGAGAGTATGTAGCATGTGCTTCGAACCGGAAAACGAGCCTATTGAGTTGAGTCTCTTTAGAGGAGGAAAAAGCGCAGCACCCACAGGCTTGCTTGCCTTCGCCGGTGTTTCTGTTGTCGACAGCACGCCTACACCCGCGTGTGCTAGTGCTAGTACAGCAGTTATGGAAATTGATTAGGTTCCTGATGATCACGACGGTTTTATGAGACGTCAAGATTTCAGAACAGCAAAGTGCGTGTTTCCATTGGAGGTGGCATAAATTCCAACGTATATGTCGCGGACGCATGGCGCAGACCAAAGAACAATTGTCCGTCTAGGCTCTTCCATCCTCAGAGAGATGAGCTGGAGCGCTATGAACGCAGAGTTCAACCATCCCATATCTCCGCTCGCGTTCTTCGGGGAAGGTTTGCGGCGATGTCGGGTACTTGAGAATCGCTGTCGCGCCAGTCGGTGGCAATTTTATTCCAGCCCTGTATTGCTCGACCCGTCTCAAGAAATTTCTCTCTTCGAGGCGAACATGTCCTTTCCAAAGGGTCCAACTGTTTGTCCGTGCGTGTGTGTCTTGTCAAATCGCTTGGGCTGCAGCATGCGCACCTGACGCGGCAATGTTCCTGCACAACAGCAGTGACTCCACGGCCAACGGCGCAACAACATAGAAACCGCTCTTGGCTGCAGCATGCGCACCTGACGCGGCAATGTTCCTGCACAACAGCAGTGACTCCACGGCCAACGGCGCAACAACATAGAAACCGCTCTTGTGTGGGATGGAGTTGACTCGGCGAAAACAGCCGTGATCACCTTGGTACGCATCACTTCCGCCCACTAGCTCCTGTCTGGCAAGATGCCTAGATGTGAAGCTTACCACCGAAGAGAAAATCGTTACCATTGTACGCATCCCCTCCGTCCACCAGACGGGAGGGAGGAGGGGCAGCGTCCGCATGATTGATTCCGATATTTTTTTATTTTTCTTAATATGACACAACGAATCCATCTTTATCATAGAAAAGATATTATTATGTGCGTGCAAGCGGGGGAACTTTGAGGTCTCGTCGATCAAGATGTTGTCTTTGGCCTAAGCGGACTCTGCCTGACTCTTTCCAAATCGCCCCCCCCCCCTCCTCCTGCCGCGGGAGCGAGGGTCGACGCGCGAGACAGACAAGCAGAAACACCCATTGAAAACGCTGCCTTATCGGAAAATTCATCCTGAATGCTCCAAATCTGCAAATTTCCAGCCGAGATTTGTGGATCATGAGAAGGCAGTAGTGCGGAGAGCTGCGTGTGTGTGTACAGGCTTCCCTCCACCGCGCGGTGCGCGCGCAACAGCAGAGACACACCCACCGGCGGCCGTACAGCCATCGTAAAATGGTACCACTTGTCCTAAGAAACCTCTTGACGCTAGGTAGTGCTACCGCACGTCAACTTCGCGTGCGACCGAGCCGTCCTTTTTAAGCCTCGCAGCTCCCAACTTTGTGAGTCTCAAGGGCATCCAGGCAGCAGCTCCAAACTCCGCAAATTTCCAGCCGACATGTGTTCGCAGAAACTGATGTATTGCAATATATTCGTCTTGCGTGTATCATACCGAGGTAGGAAGCGGATTCCCAAATTCCGCTGCATGGAGAACGAGGTAGACGACGACCGTCACCTTCGTAGAAAGAGGTCCCGGGGATACCTTTCGCAGTGTTCCTGGTATAGCCGTTTCGACGTCTGATCCCCTTCCGTTGGGGACGAGATATCGGGCGAGGGGAACCCGATCGGGCCCTCCGCTTTGTTCGCGACAAGTTATGTATGGCCTTGCGAGACCTCGCCACGGTCCCGGCACGACCCCGGTGGTGGTAGGGAGCAGTACAGTACAGCAGTAGCCTTTGTAGGGTTTTTCGAATAATAAAAACATTTTGAGTATTGCATGCAATTGGGGAAGAAGTTGGGTTAGGGTTAGGGACAGGGCCTGTAGGGGTGGGGCACCCACCGATGAATGTGCGAATCCCCCTCTCGATGTACTTCTAAGAGCGGATTTCATCTACACACCAAGGAGACCATAGACAAGAGCTGTCAATTCGCGTGTTCTCTCGGCGGGCATATTTCCTTGCCCCGAAGCACAGATAAACGCTATGCCCCCTCACCGCAACCCTGGACCAAATCGCCCCCTTTCCTTTTCCTTGTTTCACCGCCTGCAGCAGACTTGTGCGGGAGAGGCGGCAGCGGCACCCGAAGAGCGCGGGAGTCGGCCGGGAGCGAGACCGCGCCACCCCGATGATGAAGTGGCCTTGTTGCGCCCCCGCCGCGGCCGCGGGCCCGAGCACGATGTCCGACACCGCCGCCGGTCGACACCGGCCACGACACGGCTGCCTTAAGAGCGAAAACACCTGTCGTCGACGAAGACAGCCCGGGGGGGGCCGCGGCTGTGACCCAGAGGGGGGTGATGCCTCCGCCGGTGCCCCGGCGATGGGGTGGTGGCAGGAGGGCCGGAGACATCATGGCATGGCGAAGGTGGCCGTGGCGTTGGGGGTAGTGCTGGCGGCGGGGTGCTGCGCACCGGCGGCGAGGGCAGCGTCGGCAGGGGCGTCCCACTCGTGCACCGTGCTCGTCGGGGGAACGATCAAGTGCTGGGGGGAGAACTTCTGGGGCCAGCTGGGGCAGAACGACAACCTCGTCAGGGGCAAGAACGCCTCCGACATGGGCGACAACCTGCCCTACGTCCAGCTGGGCATCTTCGAGGCCGACATGGTGGCCTCCGGCAGCGAGTTCAACTGCGCGCGCTCCGTCGACCGGGAGGTCAAGTGCTGGGGCCGGAACAGCGCCGGGCAGCTGGGATTGGGGGACAACGAGACCCGGGGCGGGGTGAACAACGTCTTCGAGATGGGCAACGAGCTCCCAGTTGTGGACCTGGGCGCCGGGGTGATGGTGGAAACCATCGGACTCGCGGGGTCCCACGCCTGCGCCGTGACGCTGAGCGGGCTCGTCAAGTGCTGGGGGGAGAACGAGGGAGGTCAGCTCGGGCTCGAGGACAAGCTGGCCAGGGGAAACCTGACGGGCCAGATGGGGGACAACCTGCCCTACGTTGACCTGGGGACCGGGGTCTTGGCCTCGTCGGTGGCGCTGGGAGCGAGGCACACGTGCGCGGTTGTCGATGACGGCGGCGTCAAGTGCTGGGGTAAGAGAGTGTCGTAAGGGGTGGGTGGTGTTTTTAGCTGAGTCGCCGGTTTGGCCGCGCCGGAATACCCGCGGGGTCTCGACTACGGGATCTATAGGTAGATCCGAAGTTGTCTGCGTGAGGTGTTTAGTTCTCGCGTTTTTTGTTGTATTAGGCGGCGGTTGAGCGTGGGTCGCACAGCGCGTTACCGTATATGACACAAGATAACACACCCCCTGGGCCGATTTTCAAAGCTCGATTTCTCAACAGCAGGAAGAGTCACAGCGCCGAAAACGGCGGCGTTGGAACCGTCTCGTCGAGAGGTTTTCGACAATGTATTGTTTCGTTTATGCATCCTCTTCGTCGTGGAGTAATCGAGCTTTGAAAATCGGTCCAGGGGGTGTGTTATCTTGTGTCATATACGGTATGTCACTGCCTCTCGACGGTCATGCGATGTAGGTGGTTTCTCGTGGAGTTGGGAACGGAAGGTAGGAGTCTGGTTGGGGGGGTTGTTTGTTCCGTGTGTGTGACTTGCTGTGTGCAGCCGTTGGTGTGCAGCCGTTGGTGTGCAGCCGTTGGTTGTCCGTGGTGCTGACGGTTTTGTGAGAAACTCTTGCCAGCGGCGATCGTCCCCCTGATTGCAGAGGTGTGTACGTTGTGCGTTCGTGTGTGCCCACGGGAAAACCGAAGAATCGGATACATGTCGGAAAAGCCCACAACCTGTCAAAATAGTTGCGCCACGTTTTTTGGTTCGCTCTCCCGTGCTGTTTTGATGCAGGGAACAACGACGGGGGCCAGCTGGGGTATGGAGACACGTCCGCTAGGGGCACTGCTGCCGGCGAGATGGGGGATGATCTTCCGTTCGTGGACCTTGGTCGCGACCAGAAGGTGGTTGCGGTTGCGGCGGGATTCTTCCACACGTGCGCGCTGCTGTATACCGGCGACGTGAAGTGCTGGGGTGAGTTTCGGACGGAGCAGCAGCAGTTTGTATCGCTCGAAAGTGCGAGCATCGCATGAAAAGGCATGTGTCGCACACACCCCGGACAGGATTTTCACAGCTCGATTTGCTCCGTCGGCAGCCGGGAGACATGCAATGATAGGAGCTCGAAAAAGGGTCGTTTGTTGGAGTCTGGTAACGGGCTTGTTATCAGGTATATGTCCTTGCGAACAGCTACGAGGATGTACTTTTTAACCCGAGATAAACTGGTGCAAGGGTATATCCTCCCAGCTTTGGTACCAAAATTTAATCTTTTATCAGGAGCAACAGGAGGGGGGGGGGGGGAGGGCGCCGAGAATTATGGCACTCAAAGACAGCACTGGCTTGAATGCCAACTGCTCTGGCGTTGAGCATGCCTGCGTCCTCGCTGAAAACTGTTTCTAATGGCTGACTGACAAGCTTCTCTACATGCCGCGGTGATGCCTTCACCTGTGAGCTATTGAACCTCGTGAGCGTGCATGCGTCGCCATGCTTGCCTTGAAAACGAGGCATCAGGTGCATATTCAAACTAGGTCCGTGGTTGGTCAACACACTGGTTGAGACCACAAAAGCGGATGCTGAGAGCTCGTTGGTGCGCCATGTGTTCATTTTTTTTTTTTTTGCATGTTTTTGCAGGTTTTGGGTCGAACGGTCAGCTTGGTCAGGGCACCAACGAGTCCATCGGGAACTCGGCGGGTACCATGGGAGACAACCTCCCGCCTATCGACCTCGGCACCGGGAGCACGGCCATCGCTATGTCCCTGGGAGGGACGCATTCATGCGCAGGTGGGCACCCACGTTTGTTGGGGGGCCAAAGCAGTTATGCTGGTGATGCTTTGCTATTAGGGCTGCAGTGCAGATTCAGGCGGGCGGTTTTTTATTTTAACGCGTGTGTGTGTTGTGTTGCATGCAAACTTACAATTTTGTGCCGCCGCCTTCGCCGCTGCCCTTGTACCAACCTTTCGAGAGCCAAGCAAGATAAAAAGATAAAAAGTACAAGAAAAACGATGATGTTAGACTGCGAAGATGGGCATTTTGGCGTATTCTCCCGAGACCCATTGGTGTTCCTTCACGCTTTTTTTTTTCGCCACTTTTTGTTTTTTCCTGCGACCCTTGTTGGGGTTGTGCTTTGACGCGATGTTGTGTCGCCGAGTGTACTCAAGCATGCTCCTTCCCCGTCCGACCGTTTCCTTAACGTGGCCCCCAAACCGCCACCATCTCTTCGTTGTAGCTCGCCTCGAAAACCACGACGAAAAATACAAACGGCCGCCTAGAAATCGCCAACATCTCTTAACAAACTCGCAAAAATAAATACCACCGCCCACGTGCGTGGCCCCCAAATCCCCATCTTGAGCTAAGTTGCTCCGAAGCGTAGGTACCACCGCCCACAAAGGCGCGATCTCTGCAACTAAGTCGCTCCGAATGAGTAAATGCCACCGCTAACAAATCATCATTATCTCTTATCTAAACTCTCTCCGGATAGGGAATACCATCGCCCACATGGCCCCTAAATCGCCATCATCTCTAACTAAAGTCTCTTCGAATACGGCATACCACCGCCCACAAAAAATCGACGTGAATCCTTAAAATTAACTCTCTCCAATACAATGAATGCCACGACCATCCACACCAGTGCTGGACGACCACACGGTCAAGTGCTGGGGCGGCAACAGCGTCGGTTCGCTGGGCCTTGGCGACATCCTCAACCGCGGCACGGCACCGGGCGAGATGGGAGACAACCTCCCGGATGTAGACCTGGACTTCGGCACAGGAGCCGGATCGGTGTCCAACGTCTTCGCCGGTAGGTTCCACACTTGCGTGTCCGGCACCGAGGGCGGGCTGGTCTGCTTCGGGCTTAACACCGGGGGTCAGCTCGGGGCCGGCACCGACGAGAGTAGTATCGGCGATGAACCCGGCGAGGTTGCCGCGCTTTCGTCCATCAGCCTGGGGACGGACGAAGTGGCGGCGGTCGTTGCGGCCCCCGGGGAAGGGTTAGCCTTGCAGACGATTTCGCCGACTCCGGCGCCCACCGCAGAGAGATTGACAACTCCGGTGAGCGAGAGAGACCCAGACTACTAAGACACCGGAGCCTTCAGACTTCCGTAGGTTGTTGCATGATGTAAGATACCACACCGTCTCGAACGATTTTCAAAGCTCGATTACTCCACGACGAAGAGGGTGCTAAAATCAAAGGATAACGTTGTCGGAAAGCTCTCCACGAGAAGGTTCCAACGTTGCCCTTTTGCGGCACCGTCACTGCTTTTCCTGCCGAGTAATCGAGAAGATCGGACCAGGGTGTGACTTGTTACATGCAGCCTACGGTACAGTCTACACGCACCAACAAGACTCCAATGTCTTATGACTACGGGTCTGAACGAAGAAGTCATACACCAAAGCCTTCGGCGACAGATCTTGAGGTGTTGGCTTTTGAAACGATTGCAGGGTGGGCGTGTGTGTATATACTGTAGTGATATAGTGTAGGAGTAGTGTCGCCAGATTGCACTGCTGTACCGGGCACTATGCAGACAACGTTAACATTATTCCACCATTGTCACGCGATTTTTGTGTCATCGGCAAGGTGAGTGGCACTATTGAGAGACGCGCCCACTGCTGTGCGTGTACCATGTACATCGTATACTGCAGCCAGCTGTTTTTCATTAATTAGCACCGACCGCGCTACAGCAACCGGCGGGCCCACGAGAATAAGTCGGGATTGGTGGGTGAAAGACAAGGCACGTGGTGCGGGCCAACTTTGTGTGTGTGTGTGTGTGTGTCTTTATTGTTAGCATCGAGTGCGCTACAATACAAGTATTAACCAATGAAATGACGTCAGTCTCAATGCGGCTGAAAACAACGAAACAAACGTGCATGGTTTTTCCTTCTTGTTTCCTCGGCAGCTGGCCTCTCCTCTCGTGACAGATATATTTTTTTCGCGTTCCCGTTTGCGTTTTTTTTTTTTTTTGTCTCTCTCTCTCTCTCTCTCTCTCTTTTGTCTCTCTCTCTCTCTCTCTCTCTCTCTCTCTCTCTCTCTCTTTTGTCTCTCTATCTCTCTCTCTCTCTCTCTCTCTCTTTTGTCTCTCTATCTCTCTCTCTATCTCTCTCTCTCTCTTGTCGCGCAGCCGGTGATTATGACGAGGTCACCTGTCGAGCAAACGGACGCACCGTATGGGGCGGGACACGATTCGGGCCCGGCGGACTTGGGTACGTACGATATTTCCGGCCTGTTTTGGGTCCATTGCGGAGGAGTCTTGCTTGTTGCTTTTTTGTGTCCAGGTCATTTATCTAGGAGAGAAAAGACGCGTGTGTGTGTTTGTTATTTTTTTTTCTACGATGACACACTGGATCCATATCTATCCACAGATAGAGAGTCCGGGAGAGATAAGGATTAGATTAGCAATGACTCAAGCGTTTGAGCGGACACTCTTCTCTTCGTGTTTGTAACCGCCGGATTCCCCTACATATACGACACATTTCAGAAGGCAACGGCGATAGCGGCGATGGAGGAGACGCTGGTACAACCGCTGCCATCGCCACGGCCGCCATCCTTATCCCTGGCTTCGCTCTCTTCGGCCTCTTCTGCTGCTACCGCCGCCGCAAGCGGAAAGAGGGAGAGTTGAAACGGCCATCGGCCGCCGTGAGCGCGGGTCCAGGCGGCGGGTCTGGGCGGGAATTCGGACGAGAGGGTGAGTGTTTTTTTTTTTTTTGGTCGTGTCGTTTGGTCTCTCGATGTCGTCGGTCTTCTTTTGCCCCTTTCGGTACAAGTTTTGGACGAGGTCGCAAAGGATAAAGGCACACGGGAGTTGTGCTGTCCCCCTTGTTTCCCTCCCGCGGTGCTTGCCTTCATTTATCATTTTTTCGCGAGAAGGGTCCGCTGCTCCTTCCTTCCCCTGTTGAAACGGGAAAAATTTACCATGGTATATATTTACCATGGATCGGGAGTATTTTTATTTTCTCCGCGTTCTTGCCTTCATTTTATCGCGAGAAGGGTTCCGCCGCTCCTTCCTTCCCTCGGTGAGATGGAAAATTTTTGTATCATGGTAAACATCGCCATGGATAGATGTATTATGACATATACGCGTACGAAGAGCGCTGCCGCGAAGTTGCTGGCGGCGCGTCGCAGTGGTCACGTCTTGTTCTTCTTTTGTCCTGCCTTGGCACTCATCTGTTTGCCGGCGCTCGCATGGTTGTCTTGGTCCTACCCTACATCCTTGGCTCTCTCTTTCTCATCTATCAGTGTAAGACCATCGAGAGCCGAGTCGCGATAAACGATCGCAGCTGCCCTTTCTATGCATGCATACATGCATCCTTTCGACTTGCGAGGTGCCAAAAAGAGCCTCCAACAAACTCCGCCTCTTTTTTTTGCGCGATGCATGTTTCTCCTTTGCCGACTGTATGTGGGATCTTTGTTGTTGTTCCGGCCTTTCCCCCCCCTCCCCCACGATGATTGTTCTTCTTACGGACGCAAGACTCGTTCACCTCCTCAGAAAACAACGTGGAAGCCAATGGCGAAGGGCCCACAGAGACGCTCGCGAACAAGCCCCTCGTGAAACCCCACGCGCTGCAGTCCACGGCGCCGATGACGGACGGACGGCAAGCAGGCGGCGAGGCCGCCGCCACCGCCGGCACCCTTGGAGACTCCACCGAGGGCCTGCTGAGACCGCCTACCGCGGCGACGGCCATGGCCGTCGGAGCCGCGATAGCGGCCGGTACCGCCGCCGCCGCAGGAACCGCAGGCGGCGACGATGACGAGTCTTCTAGGTCAGACCTCGAAAATCCAGGCAGGCTTAGGAGGACCGGGTCGAACTCGTCGATCAGCACCCTTGGGTCAACGTCGACGGCATCGTCCACGTGGCCGAACGACGGCTTCGTTACCCCGGCGCGGAATAACATCCCGCGGGGGGCCGGCGGCGGGCGGTACGGGTTGGGCGGGATCGGGGGTAAGGGGGGGGAGGGGCTGCCGCCCGGGTACAAGACGCCCGGGAACCTGTCCGCTGCCACGCCCAACAGGGAGATGACGATCCCGGAGACGCCGTCGCCGCGGTCGGTGTCCAGCTCCGTCCACGGAACGCCTGCGGTATGTGCTATACGACATACGACGTTTGGTGTTGCCACGGGTGTGTCTATTGAGTATTAGTATCGGCCGCGCTACGTAACCGACTGACTGACTATTAGACGCCTAACGTGTGTGTATTTTGAGCAGTAGCATCGGCCGCGTTAGCCGGCTCACCAGTGAAAACACGTCAGTCCTCTAGCGGCTCTAAATTTTGGAGAAACTTCTGCAGACCGTGATCTTAGACCACTTGAGGGGGGGCTCATGGCTGTGTCCGTGTTTCTTTACTTGGTATGACTGGGTGTTGTCTTCGTGCGGGAGGAAGGGGGGGCTCACGCACACGGTTGGACTCTCTCCTTCGACCTCCTTCGTACGATGTTTCCCCACACAACGCTGACCCTGGAAATATAAACCCGCACGCGCTCTTCGATTCAATGAATCTTTGATTCAATGAAAACGCCCATTCTCTCCGCCGTCAAAACAGCCACCCGGCATGAGGCTCGCGCAGTTCGCAAGGGTGGGCGGGGGCGGGGGCGACACGAGCCTGTACGGCCTCCCCGAGATGGAAATCGGCCGGTCCACGAGCAACGTCTATGACAGCAGCCCTTCCGGGAGCAGCTGGCCGGTGGGCAGCAAGGGCGGTGCTCCCTTGACCGCGGCCTCTATCGCCGCCGCTGCCGCCGCCGCCACCGCTTCCGCCCAGCCGACGCCCGGCGACAGCGCGAATCCTTCGCCGAACAACAACGCGACCGCTACCTCGCCGACCGCCGAAATCGATACCGGCGGCCGCAAGTCTAACCGCTCGAGCCGGACGGCCGGCGCGTCCCCGACAACGGGGGGGGTGGGCGGGGCGTGGGGGGACAGGGAGGGCGGGGGGGGCATGGGAGCGGAGGCGGCGGCGCAGGCGTTTACGGAGGAGGCGGAGCTGGAGGCCCTGCAGATCGACAAGAACGACCTCAAGCTCGTGTTCGGGCGGCCGTTCGCGAGAGGGAAGTCCTCGGAGGTGTATCAGGTCACCCACGCCGGCAAGAACCGAGCCGCCAAGGTTCGTCGCTGTTTTTGTTTTTTTTTTGTCTTTACTTCGAATCAGCGCTCACGAGCACTTGTGAGGTTTAGTCCAACCCCTTGGTCCCACAGGAGGGTTTCCCCCTCCTACCCACACCTCCATCGGTTCGCTGCCTTCGATTTTCAATGCGACCAGAGTTTGTCTTGATGTTAGGAACCGTTCCGGTCTCCGGTCACTACCTTCGAAAATCCGACGTTAGTGTGTGTGTCTATATTGTTACAGTATGTAGCATCGACGGCTGACCTGAACTGAAGTCTAGTCTCGGTGTGGCTGAAATCAGAAAGTGCTTCTAGAGGGCATAGTCTGGTCTGCGACCGCTTGTGTGCATGGAGGCACATGCGATGATATCAGCCTCCCAAGGGGTGAACGGGTGATGTATAGCGGAATGCATCCCCGTTGATTCTAACCGTGATTTTTTTTGCTTTTTTTACTCTTTTTGGTCTTTGGCCGGCGGCACTGATTCGACTGCTGGTGTTGTGTGCACGTACAACATCAGCCCATCTGCGCAGTAAAATTCAGGCCAGCCACGCTAATAGGTGACATGATGGTGTGAACCTGTTCGCACTGAGTATTTTGTGTGTTGTTTTGCGCGTCCTTCATCGGCGATGTGGCAGGTCCGACTCGACTTGGTGCTTTGATTGAAAGAAATGATGTGAGGACCATGAAAACCTAACCAACCCTAATAACAACGATCAGATCATCCACTTCTTCTCGCTGGGTGGTCAAAATGAAATGATGGACCATGGAGACCTAGTAAACCTTGCCCGAACCCCAACCCTAACCCTTAACCCTTAACCCTTAACCCTCACCATTTTCAGATCATCGACCTCTTCTCGCTGGGCGTCGTGGGCGAGGAGGTGACTCGCCTCTACGCGTCCTTCGCGCAAGAGCTAAGGGCGATGAAGGGCATCCGCCACGACTGGTGAGCCGTCATACGTTGCTCAACACCACGGTAGCGAGTTGACCCAAGGACTACTCATACGTTGCTCAACACCACGGTAGCGAGTTGACCCAAGGAATGGAGTACTAGCAGTAGCACGGTGGCGCCATGACGCCCACAACGCACCCCAGCTGAGCGCATGGCTCCGTCTTGCCCCTCCTTTCCCGCTATTTTCCGTTGGAAACCCATTGAACGAAAATAGTGTGGCGGCCGTTTACGGCGCGGTTGCGACGCCATCAGAGCTGACGATCGTGACGGACCTGGTGAAGAGAGGGCCGCTGAGGACACTCCTCACCGACAAGAAGAAACGAGAGAGTCTCACGCCCGCCATCCGACACAAGATCATCAAGGACGTGGCGAGCGGCATGGGCTACCTCTATGAGCAGGGGCTGCAGCACCGGAACCTCCACAGCCACAACGTGCTCATCACGAAGGAGTGGGGGGCCAAGGTGCGGGAAAAAAAAAAAAACACGCGTTGTTGCGTCGTCTCCGCCCTGCTTGGCTGTCAACCTTGTCATATTCCCCCTCTTTTTGCGACAGGAACATCGCCGTTGTTTGTTCGCCAGGCAAACGGCCTCTTTTTTTGCATGCCGGAAAGAACACCTCTTCTTATACCGCTCCCTGCCTGCCGTCGTCGCCATTACGCCCCAAGCTCCTCTCACGGCAACTCCCCCTCCCCCCCCCCCCCCCCGATCCCTCTTGCGGCCGGTGTCGTCTGTGGTTCCCCCCTGCAGGTGGCCGACTACGGCTTGGCGCGCACTAGCGAGGTTATGCTGGGAGCACACGACCGTGCCAAGACCAAGTCTAAGTCCCGGTCGCGGCCGCCGGCCCCCAAAGTCGGCGCCCTTCGGTGGATGGCGCCGGAGCTGTTGCAGGCGTCCACAGACGGATCTGTCGACTTGTTCACGGAGGCTAGCGACGTCTACAGGTGTGTGTGTCGACCACTTACACATGTCTGCTGATTCTTACCCCGAAACAATCCGCGTACGCGGGCCCAGCAGCACAGCGCTAAGTAGGCCGTTGCCATTGTTGCGCCGCTCCACGACGCTGACGTTACTTTACCCCCGTCTTCGCTGTGTTGCTTGCTCGGTGCTGTACCTACCGCCGTTTTCCCGGCGTCGTTTGACCCTTCCCTTCCCTTTCCTTCCCTTCCCTCCCCTTCCCTTTACAGCGTCGGAGTGATCGCCTGGGAAGTGCTGTGTGGCGGGTCCAAGCTGCCGTACGATGGCATTGCCGACGACAAGGTATATATAGCACCTATACTATGCTTTCCATTTCCCTTTTTTGTTTTATTGCTTGCACCCATTGGTCGTCGAGCGTGCCGAAGATACAGCCGTACGCAGCAGCAGCCAGCATGTTACCCAACTGGCAAACGATTGTTTGGGGGTGAGGTCCGGAACCCCGCGTGCGCCGGAGCTGACGAGCCGGCGCGCGCCCTTCTAGCGATCTGTTTTCCCGCTTTTGTGTCGGTGCGGCTCTAGACGCCTTCGGTATCTTAGTATATCGTGGCATGCGATGCTCCCGACCGCCGCTTCCGGTTGGTCGGTTAATCCTCTGATGTGCCACTCCGCGTCATCCCCCCCCCCCCCGCTCGTTATGTTTTCGCGCAGGTGAAGTCGATGATAATCGAAGGGAGCACGCCCCCGGTTTCGATGGAGACTCCTATCGTCTATAGTGAGTACTGACGCCTCTTGTTGGTGTACGTTGACATAACCACGACAGGGGTTTTTGATGGTGTACAGCAGTAGCACAGCAGCATCTCCGACTTCTGGTCGGTGGTAGCGTGTAGCATGCTTCATGGACGAGAGAGAGATACGATAGTGCCCTCCCTCTACTCAACTTGATCGCCTACCGCAATGATTTGCAAGAAAATATTGACGTAACAGTCGTGTCTCCGATATCCGATATAAGAGGGTGGTGTGGCAACCGATTTCGACCCTCTTGTATCGCAGCCCCCCCTTTTACCGGAATAAGAGATATCTAAACTTTCCTATAGAGGGTCGAGTCCGTGACAACCGATTTGGACCCTCTTCTGTCGGAACCCGCTCTTGTGAAGTGCCTGCCATGTTATTTGGGATCCACGACTGTACCATCGCAGAAAGACTACAAGTATTGTAGCCGTTCGAGATGTAACCCATGTGTTGTGGGGTGGCGTGGTGTCGTTGACTTGTAGTTCGGGTCAGGGTAAGGCTACCCTGAAACCCTAAAACTCTTAAGTTTTTTCTTGTAGCTCTACTCGGGGTAACGGACAGGAGCGAGCTGTCGGGAATACACCGGTCCTCGCGCTGCCGTTTGTTTGTTTTTTTTCGAAATCTACGGTGTCTACGAAACATCGCTTGGGGCACGGCGAAGAAAATCGAGGTGAATGACTCGGGGCGTTGATTCTGCCACCCGCCCAACCACGGACCCCCCCCCCCCCCTCGCGCGCGCGCTCGTGTTTCGTTTGGACAGATAAGCTCATGCTGCTGTGCTGGAGAAAGAACCCGTTATCGCGGCCTTCGTTCTCGCACATGGCCTCAGTACTTCTCAGGGACCCCCCACCGGTTGGTAAGGCTTCGCCACGACTACCGGCATCGTCATCGTCCTGACCTCAAAAGAGAGGAGAATTCGTACCATAGCACCTCCGCCTGTCTGTCGAGAGAGAGTTTGACTGCGTTTTTTCTTCCTCTTTTTTTAAGGCGAGCCATTTCGACTTGATGATGAAAAGGGGAATAAGTAACATAGTACCTCAGCCTGCCTGCTGCCGAGAGTTTGATTGCGTTTTTTTCGTTCTTTTTTTAAGACGAGTCATTTCGACTCGTGGTTGGTCTGGGAGAGTGTTGTACCGGTCGATATCTATGCTGTAGGTGTACTTGTATGCGAAGAGAGGCGCGGGTTTTTTTCTGTCGTGTTTTCGTCCATGTCTTTTTCTTAATAGTAATATAGCAGGAGCGTTTTTCGTTCTTTCTTCGTATGGGTGCTTTTGCAACATGTGAGGACGACGAAGCGTCCCTTTTTGGGGTCGGGGGGGGGGTGGGGGATTTTTTTTGCGGTGCATGGCGGCAACAAATCGCCTCTCTCGCTTGGAGATTTACAGTGGATGATGATGGCCACGAAGACGTTGCTTTCTGTGCTGCTGAAAAAAATGGTTTCCAGGAACAACAACGGAAAATATCAGAGGGTCGGAAATCTTCGTACGAAGAGGGCATACATGACAGTCTTTCGGCCTCATTCGCGTGAGCGGAACTAGGGGGGTGGGGTGGTAGACACCAGTCGTGTGGCCCCCTCGATGTCGGCAGCGTTCATGCGTGATGCATTAAGGTTGCAGTGGCGCCCGCCCGCCTACCCAGACCTCGTTTCGAAGAAATGGGTCGGGATGAGATGGTTTCGTGAGTATTTCCGGCCCGGAAATACCGTACCATATTGTTCGTTGACGGGCCGATAGTTATTTGTTGCTGAGTGCAAACTGTAGCGGCGTGGAACATGAGCGTTGATCGGCACGCGCGCGCCTCCCTTTTTGATCACCTGCTGGGATTTTCGGTTGTCGTTTTTTTTTTTATGCTTTGTCTGTGGTGGGTTCGAGTTGTGCGTAGTGGAACGGCTTGTACTCTGGGGCATTTCTAGAAGGGTAACATGGGTGAAAATCCGTTGTTGCCCGGGGGGGGCGGAGGGACGTTGTTTGCTTTGGGTTTACCTACCGCGTAGGCTGTTGCCTCGCGAGTTCTCGTCTCCCGTTTCATTTATATGCTCTCTCGAAACGTATGCGGCCTGTATGGAGTGAGTGCTGTTTGGTTGTTGATGTAGTCGTTGCCTGGGTGTTGATGACGTTTTGTTTGACGCATGTCAGGGGAGAGGATGGGGTGTTTTGTGTGTAGCCGTGATTCGGGAGGACTTGATGATTGCCCTTGTGTTAAGCTGGGCTGTGTGTTGCATATTGGGCTAAGAATGCCATGTGCTCGTTCGTCGTCGTCGCTTTCGAGGAGAAAACGACGAATTTTCCCGGAATTTTCTCCCCCGACCGGTGCACAGAATGTGTCGGCGACGACGATGACGTATTGACAGTTACTACATGCGCTGCGGTTAAAGTCTCGCTGCTCCTGCTTGTGGGTTCATTCCTTTCTTCTAGTAAAATAGTCCAAGCTTGGCTTCATTTGCACGTGTCTTTCACCCCCGCTCCGTACACACCGTGCCCCGCGTTTCTGGCGCCCTGTATCCACATCATGGGTGTTGGTGGTTCCTCTCGGCCTTGGGCGAAACGACTTCTTTTTCCCTCAATTCGATGGTGCAGTGATATCGCCAGGCCCCGTTAGGGCTGCTGCGTGACTTGCTGGCTGTTTTTGGTATCACCAGCCCACCAGGGAGGGCGGGGGTCCAGCCGCGGGTGTTTCTGTTTGGGGGGGGGGGTGTACTCATAGTCGTGCATGCCGTAATCGTTCGGGGGGGGGGGGGGGGCCC